TGCCCTGTGTTTGCTTGTGACTACAGAACGAACCATGGTCCTTGGGCAGAAGCCAGAGTGGTCAGAAGGGTTGGTCGAGTTATGTACGAAGTAGAGGTAGGAGGTGATAAATGGTCACGTCATCGAAATCAGATACGCAGACGGCTAGCCCCAGATCGCCCATCAAGAGCAGAAAGTCTTCCCCTTGACATCTTGCTTGATACCTTCAACCTAACGAGAGCCCCGCTACGAGAAGAAACTCAGCAGAAAGCTGTTCTTCGTTCCCGAAGGTATCCCCTCAGACAGCGGCGAACAATAGACAAGATGCAAGTCCACCACAGGAGCACACGCTATTAAAAGGGGAGGAGTGTTGGGGATGTTAGATCCCCAAAATTCATTTGATAAGGCGTTATTTTGGTTTTCACGTTTGCCAGCATGGGCTGATCTGTTGACCTTGAGATTTCAATTCCCACCAGGAAAATCCATGGCTGTGACTGGCTGCTGTGTATTTTAGTGTGCTATTTTCTTAACTGTCTCAAGGACGTTCCTATGTTGTATAAATAAACGAGAGTTGTATGCTTGTTTGTACTGTGATTGCTGGGTGTTTGTCGTATACACTTTCTACGCTTACCAAGTCTTTTATTTCGACTTTGGGTATTCAAGGTAGCCTACCTGGACGCTGTTAAGGGTCTCGTTCGCGTTTATCGACTAAGGTAAACTCGTAATAGCCTCAAGCATACTAAGTGACGAACTTATCAAAAATCAAGTAAAGAAGATTTCAATTCGTGAATGAACCATTGGGAATGAAGTTTATCAGCCATTGAACTACGTGTTTACAGAAAATTTCACATCGGTAAAATTTATGAAACAATACCAAACATTAAGACTAAACAAGAATCTTTTAATTTATTTATTATGTTGCAACAATGAGCAAATTTGTTAGGAGTGATTATGAAAGCGTCTCTGCTACGAAAAGTTGTTATCTGTTGTAAAAAAAGATTCAAATAAATCTTGAAAATAATAGCCGAATATCCTAGTGACCTCATGTTCACTTGGAATACTACTGAGTCCCGACCGTAGCTGCTACCTTGACGTGGTGGTCGAGCTTGCCTATCGTGATGACCCAGCCGAGCTATATTGACTGGAACATATGTTCCTCAAGGTCCTACCATGCCAGGCAGGTCGATTGGAGAACGATGAGACTAAAAGCAGCTACCCAAGGTCTGAGGGCGAAGTCGTACTGCTGACTGCAGGGGGGTGTGACAGCAGCAAGGTGTTTCCCTCGGACAACCAGCATCTGCAATGATGCTGCCTTCTCACAAGGAAGGAAGGGTTATAAAAGGTCGACCCTACAAATGTCACACCCCACCCTACCTCACGAATTTCCGTCTCCGGCGGTAAGGGTGCCCACTAAGGGCTTTCAAGAGAGGAGCTAATACTAAAAAACCTTTCATCAAAAGGCTGTGCGTGACCGGCCTCAGGCAGTTGTCCCTTGAGCTCTGCGGTCACGCACCCAGGTCTCTAAGACCGTCACTAATCTACCTTTTGAGGTCCCTCAAGAAACAACCTTCCACGGTGTGGGCAGCCGGGAAATGACAACCGCCCTCATACCCGTAACAGCACAAGAGACCGAATTGGTCGAAATCAAATCCTTCCTACATCCACACATACCTCTCTTATCTCCACGACTAACTCTACTCACATTCCTTTATCTCACTGCACCGCTAATGCAAACGATGCGAGTTCACGAAACGTCATTCCTGGTCTCTTAAAACTCCATTCTAGACATGTTGGAGCTTTTAATGTACGGACACTGCGTCAAATAAAGCAACCGGCTTCATTAGCTAGGACTTTCGAATCTCGTGCCATCGATGTATGCTGCGTCTCGGAAACGCGCATACAGGATCCTAGCTAGATTCACTCTTCGTGTATCCGGTAGCCCTGATGCTGCTTCCAGGGGTCTTGCTGGTGTAGGCATAGCGTTGAGTCCTAGGGCAGAATTATCTCTCCTTGACTGAATCCCAGTAGATAGTCGTTTGTGCGCTGTCCGACTAAACGGGATAGTAAGGATGTGAAAGGACAGGGACACTCGTCGTTGCCTCTTCGTCATATCTGCCTATGCCCCCACTGACCGCAGTGCAGACGAGGTTAAAGATGAGTTTTACAGAAAGCTTTCGGACCTCCTCCAAAAAGCAAGGCGCTCTGATATAGTAATAATGGCTGGTGACTTTAATGCTCAAGTAGGTAGACTAGGCGAAAATGAAAGACATCTTGGTGGATGTTATGGTGTCGCGGCTCAGAGAATGGACAATGGCGACCATCTGTTGCAAGTATGCTCAGACAACCGCCTATTCTTAGCAAACGCTAACTTTAGGCATAAGGAAAAGCATCTGTTGACCTGTCGACCTCCAAAGTCGTCTCAACGTTGGACGCAACTAGACAGAAGACTGTCGCTCGTTCTGGGGTACATGTTTAGATTCAGATCATGCCCTAGTGCGAGCGCGTATTTGTTTGAAGCTTACTGGGTGTAGGAAAGACACCGTAAGAAAGCCTCTTAGGGTTCTATTTAATGATAATGAAGCTAAGAATAAATTTCAGGAAGAACTAGAAATACAGTTAGGCGACCATTTAAGTGATTCCCATCCGGAGGCAGCTCGTAATGATATCCAAAAAGCTGTGGAAACAGCAGTGATATCTGCTAGTAAGGTTGACCATAAGGCTAGAATGAAGCCGTGGATCTCAATAGCATCCAACGATCTGATGGATGCCCGAAAACTCATCCCACCTGGCTCTGAACATGATGAAGAACGAAGTCAACTTGGGCGCAGACTGATAAAAAGCCTGCGCAACGACCGTGAACAGAGGTGGGTGGCGAAAGCAAAAGAGATGGAAAAGGCAGCGACGATAGGCAACAGTAGGCAACTATTCAGACTCATCAACGAAACTGGTATTACAAACCCAAATGTGAGTGAGTCTATCACAGAAAAGGCTGGCTCTATTATTAATTCTCAATCCAGGAGACTGGATCGATGGACAGAACACTTCAGGGATCAGTTCAACTGGCCTCGAGCCACACTTCGGTTGCCCACGATCCCGTCATCCTGTATGGCAAATCGATTTAAGTCCGCCTAGTCTTTACGAAGTTGAGGAGGCGTTAGGAAATCTGAAGCGAGGACGAGCTGCAGGTCCTGATAGACTGAGCCCTGAGATATATAAGGATGGTGGTCCAGTCTTAGCAACTAGGTTGACTGAGATCTTGGGTAGAATCTGGGAACTGGACGTAATCCCATCTGACTGGTCTCATTCACTGATTGTCCCAATTTATAAGAAAGGACACAAGTATTCTTGTGACAATCACAGGGTAATCAGTCTAACTAATATAGTTTCCGTTATACTTCGAAGCTAAAAGAATGCTCGTGAAGAGCAGACTAGAGAAAACCAGTCTGGTTTTCGACCTGGACGTGGATGTATAGACCACATCTTCACACTACGACAGGTCCTGGAACACAGACACACATTCAGGCGCCCTACAATAGTTGTCTTCCTGGACCTAAAAGCGGCATTTGACTCTGTAGATCGTGAGGTTCTGTGGCAGTGTCTGTCATTGAAAGGTGTACCAAAGAAGAACATTAACCTTATACAAGCTCTCTACTCGAACACCACTGGTCGAGTGAGAGCATATGGCGAACTGTCATCTGAATGCTCTACATCAAGCGGTGTCCTTCAGGGATATCCACTCTTTCCATTCTTGTTTAATTTTATCGTAGACATGCTCCTAGAAATAACCTTATCCTCGTTTGAATTTTCAGGAGTAGACCTTTTGCCAAGAGACTCGCTTATTGACTTAAAATATGCCGATGACGTAGCCCTAATTGGTGAAGACGCTGACAAAATGCAAAGTCTTCTGACCACCCTAACCAACAATGCATGCATGTTCGGGATGCGGTTCTCACCCTCGAAATGCAAAATGTTGCTTCAAGAGTGGGTTGCATCGGCACCTGAACAAGTGATAGGGAGTGAAGTAGTCGAACGTGTAGACCGCTTCACTCATCTTGGGAGTCTCATCAGTGCTGATGGCCTGGTGACTGACGAAATCTCGGGTCGGATACAGAAGGCTCGATTGGCTTTAGCCAACCTGCGTCACTTATGGCGTAGGCGAGATACCCGTTTGCTGGCTAAAGGACGAGTGTACTGCGCAGTGGTTCACTCCGTCTTACTTTATGGCTGTGAAACATGGCCAGTGAGAGTAGATATTCGTCGGTTATTGGTTTTCAATCATAGGTGTCTTCGAAGCATTGCTCGTATATTCTGAGACACCCGAGTGAGCAACGCTGTTATTAGGAAACGGGTACTAGGTAAGAATGGCAGATAAATAGATGAAGTAATGAAACTTCATCAGTTGAGGTGGATGGGACATGTGTTGCGTATGCCCAACCACCGACTACCTCGAAGAGCTTTGTTTTGTAGTGTAGGAATAGGTTGGAAGAAAGTTAGGGGCGGCCAAACCAAAACATGGCAGAAATGCATGAAGTCATTGACGAGTGGACTTATCCATGTCGGTAATTGTCGACTACCTGGTTGGGGTCCGCGAGATGTTAATAATCGATGGATAGAGACCCTGAATGACATGACTCAAAACCATTCGCAATGGCGCCGGTGCATTTATTCTTTGTGTCCTCTCAAATCGTAATCTTCTAGATTCTGCAACCCCTCTAGTTTTGACTTTCTAAACTTTCCTCATTTAATCATACTTCTTGAATACTATGTTCTAAACCTAACCTCTCTGATTACTTCTAATACCCTTACTACCTCTTCTACTATTGGATTTGAATTAACAATTATATCTGTGTGCTGATGTGGTATGGCAACATGAACTGATGTACTTACGTACGAAGTTCTACGTTGCATCTGACTGACTACTGATTAATATATACACCACATAAACCGTATTACGAATTGTTGATAGCAATAATTCGATGGGCTTACAGAAACAAGAAAAAAAATAAGGAAAATAATTAATTTAAATATTACTGACATTAAATGAACCAGACGTATATTTACATTATATTTATTGGGTTTTGTGAACATTAAAAAATTTTATCAACAGTATTTTACGACCTATGGATAGACTAGTATATCTTTCAGGAAAAAAAAGAAGTTTTAAGAAGCGTACTTTTAAAATAAGGGAATCTACACTGAATACACTTCCGAATAGTTTAAATAAGGTAGTTTCACATCCAGTCATAGAAAAACTTCAACAGATAACTCTAGATAAACGTTAATTTTGTTCATAACAATGGTTATACATATAAACAAGAATATGTTGTTATATATAGTTGTAATCTGATTAGTTAAATGAATAGATGTTATATATACACTGCAAATCATCTTAATTGCCAAAAGATGATGAATTCAAAAATGATGTTCGACTGACTGCGCCACCACTGAATTCTACAGCTTGTGAAGTTGCTTGACGTAGTAAAGATAACTGATCCATTGAATTAGTCAGAAGATTATGTAAAGTGGTCAATTCCATGTTAGTTAATTGACTAACTCGTGCTGTAGACGATCCACTGGAAAGAAAACCATTAACAGACGATAACAATTTCCCAACACGTATATCCCATACATCACGAACAATGTTACGAATACTTTCAGGACTACAAAATAAATATAAAATTATATATTTATATATTTAATAATTGAGGCAGTTTTTGAAGTATGATAAAGGAATCACAATGTCAAATGGAACCTAACTCGAAAAGTCGATCGTTATTTCTTCTTAAGCAAAGATGCTTAAATCTCATCACAATTGTGATAGGTAAAATACTGTTCAAAATATATTACTGATATATATATATATATATATATATATATATATATATATATATATATAATCTATATATCACAATTAGTTTTATTACGATGAACTACGATAAAAAAGGTTGTAAGCCTTAAAATTATGTTAATTTATTGACTCTAAAGTAACAACTTGCATTAAGTCACGAAACGTTAGAAATACGATCTTTTTTACTCATTTGGATAATATAAAGAATTATAATTACTTTAACTTTCAATGTTCAATTGATTTGAAACTATCAAGTCCAACCTTGGTATTGATACTTATAGGTTTGATTATGTTAGAATGAAAGAAAATCAACAAGGTGGAAAGCGAATTCGTAGAAATGATTTCATTAACTACAGCAAAAAATAAACTACCATATAAACAAGAATTAAGTATTCGTCAGTGATCAATAAGCTTGACAGCTTGATTAGTTGCTACATTAATGAAGTGCTCCTATTTCCTTTGGTCAAATACTAAAAATTATGTAACAATAGATAATACGTACCTCCCCCTTTAAGTGTTATCAAATGTCATGTCGTTTAGTTCTATCATATATACATATATATTTGAGTACGTATGATAATTGAGAATAATGAATTTCGATATGGTTAAGAGTCCAGTGAATACATAACAGTATCAAAATCAAGAAGAACACAGTGAACACAACTGGAAGTATTATGTTCGGGAATCAGATCAGCCGCGGAATCGAGTTCATAGATATTATTATTGCATACAGAAATAATAGCACGATAGACGTATGAGTCAGTCAGTTACAACGTAGAACTGACTACATACGTACATCAGTTCAAGCTGCCATACCACATTTGCACAGAGACGCAATCGTCAGTTCAAATCCGAGAATGGTAGAGGTTGTAGAAGTATTTGCAGTTATGAAGAAAAATAGCGTTCGAAGATGTGATTCGAGAAGTGTAATTCAGTGAGATAAATTTAGAAAGAGAAAGACAGAGATGAGGAAATCAGATCAGAATTTCAGATAAAACAATGAATGGATGCACATGCGCCATTGCAAACGATTTTGAGCCATGTCGTTCAAGGTCTCTAACCATCGGTTACTTTCGTCAAGCGGACTCCAACCAGGTAGCTTACATCTGCCAACATGACTCAGTCCACTTGTTTGTGACTTCATGAGTTTGTTCCATGTTTTAGTTTAGCTGCCCCTAGCTTTTTTCCAACCTACTCCTACACTAAAAATCATCGCTCGCATGAGGAGACTACCAAATGAGAAATGTGCAAAACAAACAGAAGACAACATTGTGTATAAATACTGGTTAACTCTTTATGCTATGATGACTTTCGCAAGAGTAAGTTGGGAAAATAAGAAAGATCACCACGCCAAGTTACCGACTGATTTACAGCCATTTTTTATGCGCTGAGTTAAACAATCAAAATCGAAAGTTGGATACTTTGAGAGGTAAGATCTTGAAAAATCTAGTGATATACTTCTCATTTTCCTTAGTACCATGTTTAACTATTTTCTAATACTTAATTGGTTTACTTTCATTTAAATAATTTTTTCAAATATCCATATATACATCTATACAGTCGAAAAACTGGTAAAGTTTTTATTACTTACTTTGGTATATCCTCAGCTGCATGCTGAAGAAGAAGTGTACTAATCTCAATATATTGAGGATGAGGAGGAGAGGTACAACCGGAATCATTTTCTTCAGCCTCTTTACATTCATTCAACTTCGTCAAATTTAACCAGGGTGGTGGCATTATACGACATTTTTGCTGTCCTCTCAGAAAAATAGCAACCCAAAGAGGAACAATAGTTGGCACATTTGGGAAAAAAGGACCAATCTGTTAATTTTAAATAAGGTTATTTTGTAGTGTTAAATATTAGTTGACATGTTAATTTTAGACCAAGTTTGAAATAACGTTAAAAAAAAATTGCAATGACAGAGCAAGTTTTAGTATGATAATGAAAAAAAGACTAGCATTTATAGCACATAGACTGACAACAAGCATGATTTCTACCTATAATGCTTTGTATCGTAATCGGTCATGATGTGTTAGAAGACAAACGCTAGCCTGTGACTGCAAAAGATATATTAAAGAAATGCATACATCTCGCAGTAATTCTTAGTCCG